TGCAGTGTATTCGCAGGGTAAACGTGGGTGTTAAGAGGTGAAGTGGAGCATGACCGCTCCACCGACACACATACACACACATCTAAGTCACACAAGTGCAATTCGCTGACTTGTCCTATGCCCATAAATTGCTGGCTGGTTTTGGCCTGTCAACGGTTGTACTACAGTTATTTTTAATAGCCTGTCAAAATGTACTCAAGGCTAGGTCTCACTATGTGTCTGTGTTTCTGCATGCATATATTGCATATGAATGTAGAAAGAGTGCAAATACTTTTTTAAAGGGGGGAAAAAATCAGTGTGTATGCGGACAACAAAGGACAATCTGTACAACACGCAGAAAGTTTCAAGTAACTCTAAAGGTGATGCTTGATAAGCACAAACAAAGATGTGGTGATTACTTAACTGTAGCATTTTATCATCTTTTTATCAAATCTCTGGCAGGTGATCCACTTCTCACAGCAGCAGTACCACTATTGTTTAGGACCATGGCAACTTCTCTTTAGCAAGTACTGTCTGGGTGCATGGCATACGATGCTGTGCGTGCCTGACCTGACTAACCCCTATGGATGTCTGAGTGAGCTGCCCAGTGCTGTACCCATCTGAGACCAACTCATTTCCATAACAGATTTCATAAACGAATGAGTAAAAAAGGGAACTTGTAACTGTTATTGTGTCGGCAGTGTCACCTGAAGGCTGAAAGTTACAAAGAGCTCTTTTAATATGTGCAGTGAAAACTTTTCACCTAATCATGCAAATAAAGGATAACTGCAGGTAACCAGAAGCAGAAGACAATCAAAACCCTTGAATTAACTGTAGCAAAAACCCCACCTGCAAAAGGTGCACAACACGTTGTTATGGTAGCAACTGAAGGGTAAACTTGCAAAACATCTAAATGCTGATGTAGCAAAAGCTTTGATTTTAATTCGATTTTAATTTTGATTTTATATGTGTGCAGATTTGCATGCGATTAGAGTCCACAAAGTGTCTTTATGCAAGACAAATGGACCCCTAATTTGACATGTCAGCTCACTGCTATTGGTGTATGTGTTTGTGTGTCTACGTCCTTGAATAAGAAACACATTTCAAAGCTGTTTTTAAAACTTAGCTACGGCTGAACAAGGGCAATATAAGTCCAAACCATTTTAATAGTCTGTGAAACTATGTATTCAGTCAACCGTAGTAAATTTAGTTCCACACTTCATCATATGGGGGCCCTGGTAAATTAGTTTTACCATGTTCCTCACAATAGCACACTAACTCTCAGTTGTTCTGAGCATTTTTCGTTTTCCTCCTTAAATAGAATTTTCCGCTGCTGTGACAGGAAGTCTGCAAAGTTTCATCCATCCACTCTATTCCACTTATCCTTATCGGGGTAACGGGGGGCTCTAGTGGATCCCAGCTACCGTGGGGTGAGAGGTGGGGTACACTCTGGAGAGATTGCTAACAGAAAGAGACAATCATTTGCACTAACTTTCACACCTACAGGCAACCTAAGTCAGGGGTGGGCAACTCCAGGCCTTGAGGGCTGGTGTCCTGCAGGTTTTAGATGTGTCCTTGATCCAACACAGCTAATTCAAATGGCTAAGTTGCCTCCTCAACATGTCTTGTAAGTCATGTCCGAATTCATGGGCTGAATCCTCCTGAGGACCTGGCCTTCGTGGTCTACGTGGGCAGACTCAGAAGGTCGGGAAGGCTGGAAGTAAACGGCTGTGAAATTGGACAGTCTAGCTTTCAGATTTGCATCACCGCTGTCTCGGTAGAGTTTAATAAACTCGGCCGTCTGCTCCTTGCTATCTAAAATATAACAGGACACTGGCGTAAATTCTCGACCATCTCACACTTCTATTTAATCAGTTTTCTGTTTGACTTTTATTCAGCTGTGTGAAAACCACCCAGGGAATTAATACATTTTTATCTAATCTCCCGGCTACGTATCGAGCTAGTGGGTAACAGGCGTCTCCGAAAACGTCGGAGCACTTTTGCAAATATGTGATATCTTGATAAACCCAGCAGATATTTAAAGTTTACACAACTGCATTCTCACCTGAAAATATGTTAAAAGTTTATTTTGTGACCCAGAAAGATTAATAAGAGTAATTTTAAAAATATTGCCAGAAACTGGAGCTTGGCTGGGCCGCGCTATAAATTCTGGGATATGGTGGGCCACGAAGGACACACCCGACCCATCCTTTAAATTTGGGGAAATGAAGGACACATTTATCGGCTGCATTCGGAGGAGTCTATGAATTTGGACAGCCTTCGGCACGTCGCTGTGACGTAATCGGTCTACAAATGCGGCCTCAGGAGGATGCAGCCCATGAATTTGGACACCCACATAGTTCTGCAGAGGTCTGGTAATGAACTAATCATTTGATTCAGGTGTGTTGACCCAGGGTGATATCTAAAACCTGCAGGACACCAGCCCTCGAGGCCTGGAGTTGCCCACCCCTGCCCTAAGTGCATGTCGTTGGACTGTGGAAGGAAGCTTGAGTATCCGGAGAGAACCCACACAGACACGGGGAGAACATGCAAACTCCACACAGAAAGGTCCGGGCCAGATGGTGGTTTCCAACTACCATGCCACCGTGCTGCCAAGTCTATAGAGTCACATTATTGAATTGTGTCACTGAATGTCCTTTTTGACCATTACACATAGTTAGTGAACAACATTCAATTAATTTTATTTTGAATTTTTTTTATAAAAACATCCTTCCTGGTGGTTAATAAGAGTAACATGAACGCGTTATAATAATAAGTTACATTAGTGAAGGTGTGATATGGTTTAGATAAGGTTTGCGGCATCTATTGAACGGTGGTGTTTAGTCATACTGCAGAAACTATTAGTTTCACTTGGGTCATCTTAGCTCTGCTCTAAGTTAGTGGGCTAAGGTGATGTTAATGCAAAAGGTTTTCAGGAAAGCCTGGCCACATCACTTTAATCTCTGTTGTTGTACAGACACAAAAGAAGAAGCATGTTGCCCTGTTAAGGATCTTGACCTTCTCATATTCTACCCTCTGCCTTCATGCGGTCCACCTCAAAGTTCTCATTTCAGGACATTTTATACCTCTCACTGCCTGGGCCCCTCAGATGGAAATCACAGTGGACAAGACTTTATTTTACTAACTGATGCAAAAGCCTCAACAGGATACTGAAATCATCAATGTGGAGCAGAAATGCCTACAGAAAATGTGGGTGCGCTGGGGGCAGCGCAGGGTTGTGAGTCAGGGCACATTATAAATAAGGTCGAGGGGGGGAAAAAGTGAGGGTGAGACTGATGTAGCTGGGCTTTCGATGACTTACAAGCAACACACTGAGTGTCTGTAAAGTGAATGAAAGAAAGCAGTAGCAGAAAAAAACAGCGAGACAGGCATGAAAAAAAGGATGAGGGTTCCAGCAGACTTGTGCCCAGCGTTGGAAGCTTTGCCAGTTAAAGCAGTGAGTCACATGTGACCTTGGGAGAAGAAATAACACTAGAGGGATCCCTGGATTTCCACGGCAGCTGATGTGGTTACCTTGTTTTCTCTGGTGAGGTTTCTGAAAATGATTTAGGGGAAACTCTTTTCTTCTTCTTCTGAACTGCGTAGTGTCAAGATGTGATGCATGCAACGAGGCTTATTTTTGGGAGGTGGCTGCATGCCTTTCTGCCACTT